ATACAGCACTGTTTGATACGGTTCGATACGGGTACATGTATTGTTGCACCCCTATTAGAAGTATTTATTTATATTCACCCATTTTTTCTTATTATAAACCAGACAAAAACATTCCTTTGCTGAACCAAAACACTGGTTGTTTGATTGGATTTGGAGTCCACCGTGCCAATATTTTCTGTAAATAGTACTGTGTGATGCCCTTCTGCTCGTAAGGTAAAAGCTACAGCTCAGTCCTGCAGACCAGATCAATGACAGATTGCTAAGTAAATCCCTCTGCCCGCCACGGTCAAAACAGAGAAGGACAAGGTGAGCGGTAAGAGCATCGATTGCTGTCAGTCCACTACCATACATCGATACCATTCTATCAATACGAGGACGACAATGATGTCATTAACATGTCCGACTCTTCTCTAATTAAATCAGTAACAAATGTTACTGATTTAACAGTAACACTCTGCCACTCGTTTAAAGGGTCTGGTGAGAAACCAGATGAAACAGTTTCTCTGTGAACAAACGGAGGAAGTCAGATATTTACCATCTTTAGGAGTGTCTGCAGGTTTGGACGCTGGTGTGATTTTGCCTGGCGGCGTTCTGTCGTGACAAACCTGATGCAGGAAGTTGATGGATTTGCCGATCAGCAGAACCTAAAAGGATAAACGAGACSATCGGTTCTGGTGGAACAGCAGTGCAGCCGTGGCGTACAACTGTTTGTGTTGTCCTGGAGACCAACCAGTGATGAACAAAGTCACCTGTAGCGCTGTGTGTTTGWGTGTGTGTTTGTGTATGTGTATGAACCTTGCGAGCCTGGTCCATAGTGATGAACGAAGGGATCATTGACTTCCTGAGGGAGTACTTGTCGTGCCACAGACGATCCGTCTTAACATTTGGATCTGATGCTACAAAGAACTACACACAGACACAAACTGTTTTACAAGTTGTCCAACATGTTGGCAAACTGTTTAATCATCACTGTTTGTTTATTTATTTATTTATTTATTCCATCTGTGCATTTTACTTTATCTAGGATACTGTACTGAAAAGTGCAATATGCCTCAATATAATCTCATCTTAGATCATCTTATAACATCTTTACGAGTCGTTTATATCATCCAACATCATCTGAGACACTTTTGACCTACCTAACCACACTGTTTATATTTTTAATTTATACTGTTTATATGTCCATAACTGTGTTCACTTTGTTTTCCTCCAGAGTGTTTATATTTTTCATTTTATTCTAGCATGCTTATCTTTTATTCTCCAGTTATTTTACTTGAACGGTTGCAGCTGTAATAACAATAAAATATTCTGAGTCTTTGGGGAAGAAAATATTCTGGATTAAATGAACACACCTTCCACACAGCAGGAAGCCTCTATCAGAATGCAACTTTTAACAACAATAAAAGCTCATCCAGTTTTTGTCTCTCGTCACAGTAAACCAGATTACGCCACAGAGATAGGTGAAGAACAATTTAAACATTTAATCCATGTTTCTACTCTATCGTGTAACATTGTTTTTTAATCATCATCACTATTAGTTGTTTTGGTGCATTTTCATTAGAAGTTGTGTGTTAATGATGAATATCTAAACAAACTACAACAGTTTGTTTTCATTATGAGATGCTTATATCTTTCTACGATTTAAACAAAAATGCTACAGTGGAACAGATGGTACATTAACAYACGTGTGACTACTAGGGCTGCCACGATTAATCGATTAATCGACGACTAATCGATTATTAAAATAATCGATGACTAATTTAATAATCGATTAATCGTTTTTTTTTTGTTTGTTTTGTTTTTTACTTTGTTTTCTCTCCAAACTGCTTTGTCACCTTTCACTGCCACATCTGCCTTTCTCTCCTCGACACACATGCACAGTAGTGGTA